CTCTCTCTCTCTCTCTCTCTCTCCCTCTTCTCTTTACATCAAGGCATCATGAGGCACACAGCTAACCGGAGAAATAACAGCAGAATGAAGAACAAACAAACACATATATATATATATATATGCAGACAGTAAAAAGATGTTACCTTCACATCAGGTGTTACTCCATGATCTTACGCACTCACCAGGGGAACCCACCGTCAGCTCCTCAAATACACTACAGATAAAATCCGCAACTTCCTCCGGTTGATACAAACCGAGTGCCGGAATGGACTGGTAGCCCTCCGACATCTCTTCTGGCAATTTTGTCTCGGAACCTACCGAGCTTACCAAATGGGGCTGTACAGTCGGAATGAGGGGTGAACCTTCAAGAAATGGGCGTGAGGGTGGTGCGGTGGAACAGAAGGCCGTTTCAAGAGAAAAGGCAGCACCTTCCACACCACTGGCGCTAGGCAAGGTTGAGTCCCAAGAATAAGACATTTTTTGGCAATTGCCGGGGTTTTTTGTCCGCCTAAGCGCCGCCGCACTACGGCACCAATACTCTCGCACATTATGAAGAAGTTGCTCGTGCTCTTGAATCCTCTGCTTAAACTCCTCAATCGACTTCCGCACCTCCTCCGTCTCCGCGCTTCGCTTCTTCTTCTGCTCCTCCAACAACTCCATTGTGTGTGAAATCTCGTCGTTGAGCAGCAGTGTGTCCAGGGTCCTTACCTTCTCCTGCGAGCGCTTCTCCGCCGTGGCAGCATTAAGCTTTGCTTCCTGCGCATCACACTGTACAAGTAACTGTGTCCGCTGCCTTTCAAGTCCAGTACTTGTTTGCATCATGCGCTCCGTCTCCTCCTTGTGTTTCCGCAGCTCTCCACGCAACCGCTTTAACTCTGTCCGTATCTTTTCACGCGAGGCGGCAAAATGGGCAGTGTCTTCTGTCAGGACAGACAGTAGTCCCGCAATGTGACCGGACTTGTGACGTCCACCGGCATCACGGCCCGCCCGATTTGGCGGTTGAACAACCGGAGGCCGAACCACCAAGGGGGCGCGGTGGTACTTGAGCTGCCTCATGCGGGATCCCGCGTCGCCGGCAGGGGGATTGCTAGTGGATGTTGGGCCATCTTTGCCGCCCTCGCCGATGTTTCCACCGATGTCCTGCTCGGCCCCTTTATGCACCGTGGGCAGCGGTGGAAGCGTCAGGCTCTGCGAGACCTCCGTCCATGTCCTACCGCTATGCAATTGAAGTCGTCTCCGCGACGGTGGTAGCCTGCCCGTCTCAACCGAAGATGACTGCATTGCAGCATTTTCTGCTGATGTGGCCATTTTTGTCGCGTTCGTCGTCGTCGCCGTTGTGTTGTGGGGTGATGACAACAGGGACATGGCCACCGGGTGCATGGCGTTGATGATGCTCCCCTCCTCCGCTGCCTCACTTGTCGCACCCGATGCCTCCTCCTCCTCCTCCTCCTCCTCCTTTTTATTTTTCCTCTTCGTCTCTTTTTCCTCCACCTCGTGCTGTTGCTGCTGTCGAAACGGCCACGTTTGCTTGCGTCCACTCAACTCCCTGTCTAGGCGCCCTTCGTTTTTCCCTTCTCCATCTTCCTCCGCTCGAGTCTCACGTCGCATTTTTCTTCCGCGCTTCTGAAACCGCCGCAGTTCCAACCGCAGCTGTCGCTCTTGCTCAAGCAACTCCCGCTCATCCTCCGGCGGAGCGGGCAAGGCAGCGGCGGCCGTGTCGGACAAAGCGCCCGTCACCGAGTCATTCATCGCCGTCTTTCGGCCCTCAAAGGAAGTGTGCACATGTCCATGCATGCACCGGTGCAACTCCCACGTGAGGGCGTCTCCAACCTCCCCAACCAACTGCTCCATCGCCGCGCGCAGACTATGCAGCGTCTGGTCCCGCCGCATCTTTTCCCTCGCCACTTCTCGCTCGGCGCGGCGCTTCAGTTGCTGCTGCTGTTTCTCCATCCGCTTAAGCCCCGCCACGACAACTTCGCGTTTTCCACCAATTGTCCATTCCTCCGCAAGGCTCACTCGTTGCAGGAGTGCCTTCTCCATTTCATGCAACTCTGACATGTACGCTGCGGCCGCATCGCGAAAGGCGACAAACCACGACTCCCCAGCCGCTCGCTGATGCAACCGCACTGAATAAAGCTCCTGAAGGAAATGAAGCATTTTTTGTCGCTCCTTTTCACTCGCCACACGACCTGTAAGAATAGCCTTGTGTTTCTGATCCAATTGACGCGATAATTCCATGTCACAATTCCACTCCAACGAATTCGCCTCATTCCGCATCTCACTGGATTTTTCCCTCAGCCAGTTCGTAACATACGGGAAAGCACGACTTGTTGCAACCGTCAAATAAAGTGACTTCGTTACCGGGTTTATCTCCACCACGTTGCCCTTCTCTTCCAAACTGAGAGTGACATCACCTGTGTTTCCATCCACAAGACCGCCTTTCTTGTTGCTGCCGTTGATAGAAAATGTCTGAGTGGTAGGGCGAGCGGAATAGGTGCTCATTTCTCTCTTTCTCCTTCTTTGTGTGTCTGTGTGTCTGTGTGTGCTTTGGTGTAATGTTTATGTTGACTCCTCCTTAACAACTATGTATGTATGTATGCGGCTGGGTGGTGCCTCACTCATACTGCCCACATAAAAGCAGCAGTACACATGAAGAATAAGGCATTAAAAAAAAAAAAAAAAGACATATATGGTATACACATGTAATATTATTATTCGCTTCTCATTTCCATCTTTATTCCCTTCTCCTTCTCCTTTATATTTTCCCCACCGACAACCACACGGACTTCTTACAGGGGAGTCAATACACGTAACTAAATATATTCGATCCAATTCCATATTAATAAATAAATAAATAAAATGGGATCGACGCACACACATACACATACACACAGAAAAAAGAAAAAAAAAATCAAATAGCAAAAAGGGGAGGGGGAAAAAAAGAAATAATAATAAATCATGACATGCATATGCATGCATCTCATATATTTTTCACCCCTCCTCCCAATCTCTCTTCGTCACTTTCTCTTTCACTCTCTCACTTTTCCCTAATGCACAACCATGGAATTTCCCTACCCACACTCAAGAAGAACTTTATGACCATAACCATTTCTTAAATATAACAGCAAAGCAAATAAAAGAACATGCAACAATAGCAACGTCAATTTGTTTTAACTGAACACGAAAAAGAACCCAGTTTCCAAGTTGGATACGGACAAATACAGGAGGGGCGGATCCAACCAGTGAGACTGCCTCTTCACCCTGTCCTTGTCCCTGTCCCGAAGCTTTGGGTGAATGACTAAGAGACCCACTACCCATCGTGTCCAATCCTCCATGTACATCCTCCCCCTGCTGCTGCTGCTGCTGCTTTCCCTCTGTTGTTGCCGCCGTTGGTTCACTCGTGTGCGCTGAAGCATTTTTCGTGGCATCTCCGTACTTCATGGTTGTTGTGGAGGTTTCGTCCTCCCCGTTTTTCGCTGCCATCACCCGCGTTGCTCCAAAGCTCACACCGCTTGCTTTATTCATCACCGTTGCTGGTGCCACTGCGGGTGTTACTTGAACGACATTCTGGTCCACACGGTCGCCACATGCATGACCCTCCTCCTCCTTCTCCTCCACATGTCCTGCTATCTGAGCGGCGGAGTTGGTGGTATTGGCAGCCGGCGTATTCGATGCTGCTTGATGCACCGTCGCTGCCGTCATGGATACTTCTTCCCCTTTTCCCACTTCTACTGCCGTTGCCGCTGCTGGTGGCGCGATGTCTTCTTCTTTTTTTCGTGTTTTAACCACCGACTTCGGCACATTCGCCTCCACCTCCGACGAGACTGGCGGGTACTGCTCCATCTGCGTCTTCCACACATCCCATGCACTCGTCATTCCACACGTGGGACATGAAAATTGATGGCTCTCCCGCGCCAGGTGTCGTTTTTCCTCCGACGTGACGTACCGTCTCTGAAGGGACCCCACACCGAGTTCCTCTTCCTGCGCCATAAATGACCGCAGCGCGACAAGAACCAACTCAATGTCGTACACCGGCTTCCACAGCTCCGGATGATAACTACTGATGGTGGAGCAGATCTTCTTCCCAACCTCAAAACGGCCACTGTTGGTGAGGAAAATAATGTCCGGTGGAGAAAAGGGGTAGTTGCGAGGGAACATGATGGCTCCATGGTAGAGACCCCCTTCGTACGGGGAGTTGGGAGGCCCTTGGAGGGTGAAGTGCCACTCAAAAATGTCATTGAGCGGGCAGGCGTAGAAGTCACGTACACGTGATTCATCCAATTTTTGCTTCTCCTTCGCGAGACGTCTAATCGCCGCCCCTGCCATTTCTGCGTGTATAGATGCTGCTGCAATATATATACACTTGCCATGATAAAGAGGAAAACACGCATGTGTGCGTATAAACAGGGAAAGAGAGAAGGAAAGAAGACGTGATGGGAGTATCAAAGAAAAGCGTTGGAGAGATATTTTTGTCCCTCACTCCGTGTATGCATGCATGCATGTGCTTTACTGAGTGACTGAGCATGTGAGGGAGGGAAATGAATGAAATGAAGTAGAAATAATACACACACAAAAAAAAAAAAAAACCATACAGGCAATAAACGCTGAACCATTAAAAATACTTCAAAAAGCAACTACAAAAAACTCATATATATAAATAAATATATATGTATATATATTTATATATACATGTCCATTACATAAATTGCGTGCAAATACATACACAGATGCATGCATTCATGTGTGTGTGTGTGTAGCCGTGAATAGATGCGTCATGATTGTGAATCCATGCATCGGTTGAGAATGAGTAAGAAAAGGGGGAGGGGATAGAAACGTGTAGAGAGAAAACAAATAAAACATGAAAGGGCGAAATTAAAAGAAACACACACACACACACAGTCACACACACAAAAGCGCACACATACATACGTACACATACGACAACGACGACTTTCCCTTTGATCTTTTTCAAGTTCATTTGTTATGAATCCCCTTCCTTCTCACCGCGGCGGTGAATGAGATTGGCCCATATTTCTATCCTCATCCTCTTTATTCTCATCGTCGTCCTTCCTCATGGTTGACATAAGCGAATGGTACTCCAGTAGTTTCTGCGTCCGCACGGCGTTCATCTCCACAAGTTCGTCCACCGGATGACGGAATTGAACCCCAGACGCCAAAAGTAACTTCTCCGTTGGTTTAAAATCCTCCAGTTGCTGCGCTGCCTTTTTTGCGATAAGTTGTAACTGCTGCTCCATTGTCTCCTTCACCTCCAATAGGTCCTTCTTGGCCTTACTGAACTCCTTAGCCTTTGGGTTAAATGTCTCCATCGCAAGTTCCTGTTGGACGTGGTAGTACTCAATCCGCTTGTCCAGTTCCTCCATGTGTCGTTCCTTCTTAAACTGCAGCTCGCCCAAAGTGAGGTAGAGGCTGCGGAAGTGCTCTAGTCGCTCCTTGCGTACATTCAATAATTGTGTCTCGGCTGTCTGCAGGATGACGTTGTGGAGGTGGTGATTCAAATGCTTATACCCCGATTGCACCGCATCACTGATGCTCTGCGCACAGTGAAGGCTCTGCTCCACGTACTGCAGCGTCGTCCGCAGGGCCTCCTCCTGCCGCTCTGCAAACAGCATGAATGTCGCCGCGTCCTCCTCCCGCTGCCGCTCCTCGGACATCTTCTCCAGTCGATCCTCGACGAGGAATGTACGCTCCTCTGCAAGGTGGCGCAGACGCTGCTCAAGTTCCTCAATGGCCCGCAGGCACGACTCCTGTTGCTGCCGGTTCAATTCGAATAACTTTTCCCACTCGGTCATTTGCACAGAGAAGTTCGCACGTTGCGCACTGCGCGCAGACCTTATCTCCTCCCGCTTGGACGCAAGTCTCTCTATGTCCGCGGCGCAGCGTTTTTTAAGGTTCTGTTCCTTTGCAATCTTTGGTGAGACGAGACGAGGGACAAGTTCGGTGGCCAACGCACGCACCTTCCGTGTCGGCTCCTCCGCCGCGTCTTTTTTATACGTCTCAATGACGTGCTCGAGTTGATCATAGAGGGGGCGCATCCCCTCAAGCAGTGCGGTCTTCTCAAAGTACAAATTCTCCGAGCGCACCATGTCTCCATCTGTCACGGCATCCTCCTGCTCCCGTTGTTTCTCCTTCACGTCGAACGCAGCACGGCGGAGACGCTCCTGTGGCTCTTCCATGACATGCTCCAGCGTGACCCGCCGTAGTGTTTCCCCAAGAACCCGCAGAAGAGGCTGCGACCACTCCGCCCACGCTGAAATATCGTCTACAGAGCAGGCGCAGGTCGCATAGCCATGTTCGATGGTTCGCAGACTCTCCTCTACCGCATCCTGCAGTCCTTTAATGAGCATTGAAATTGACTCCGCTGACGCATCCCCTTTACCTGCACTTGAGAGAAGCTTGCCATACGGGTGTAAATGCCGCACGTCCTGTATACCCGCGAGTAGGCGCTGTAAGGGCTGAAGTCGTCGACTCACCGCCTCGGCAGACGGTGAGGTCGATGACACTGTCATTGTTGTTGCTGTTGGTGATGATGATGATGTCGCCGCTGTCATCGCATGGCCGTCAGGAAGCCGCATTTCACGTGCCTCCACTTCCAAACCGCACTCGGAGCAAAAGAGACTACCGCTCCCCTCCACCAGCGCACTCATCCAAAGTCCATCCGCCTCTCTCGCTGCGTGATTGTTGTTGCTGGTGTTTTTATTGCTGTTGTTGTTATGATTTCCCCCACCCGCCGCTTTATTCATTGGCACGACGGATGTCGCCGCTGCTGCCCCATTCGCGGAAGGGCCAATTGTTGCCTGAAGTTCTTCCAGGAGGCTTAAAATTTGTGTGGCGCTTTCACGCGCCATGCGTCGACGGCCCTCAACGGAAGTTGTGGCGCCTACGGGCACCGCACACGTGTCTAACACGGCCTCACGCTGAAAAAACCACTTCTGCGCCGCCACCAGTCGCTCCTGAGAGCGCGCAGGCACCGCCGCTGGTGATGTCATCATCACAGCTGCTGCTGCTGCTGCCGCCACCGCTGCTGTTGCTGCTGCTCCACCACCGCCACTCTTTTTGCCGTTGCTGTTGTTATTCATAATTCAACCCCTCCCCTCTTCCTCCGCGGCCCTCTTTTTCCTTTTTCTTATTTCTATATTTTATTTTATTTATCGCTGCACGTCTTCTTTGTTCCCTTGCGTTCCCCCCCTCGCACTCTCAGACTCCTTCCAAAGATATCAATATATATATATATATATATGTACATGCATGCATGCATGTTGGCAAAGGATAAGGGAAGAAGCACACATATCCAGGAGGACAGCAAGAGACACACAGACACACAGAGAGAGAGAGAGAGGGCACAGACCGACTCTCCCCACCCCCCTCCAACACAAAAAACAACAACAACCAAATAAATAAATAAATAACAGAAACAGCGGGGATGATAGGGGGGGGGGGAAAGATGCAACAACAACAAGACAGAAAAGATGGAAAGAGCAGCGCCTTCGTTCTCACAACTGTTTTTTTTTTTTCCTTTTACTTTTCTTTTCGTTTCGTTTTTTTTTCTTCTCCACATCCGTAAAAAACAATCAACAAAAACAATGTGCACACAGAAACGGGAATTATTGGCAGCCAAATAAACAACAACAACAAAAAAAAAAATTTATAAAAAAGCATGCACATGGAGCCGGATGCAACTGTGGCCAGTTGATGCATGCAGACACACAAGTGAACTTCTCTCACCCCCCTTCCCCTCCTCACCGCAAAAGACACCAAAAAGTTAAAAAAAAAAAAAACAAGTAGGGGGGAAGGGGAGGGGAGGGAACGCCTCTACAGCGCTAATATCACCACCACCACCACTGGTAAAAAGAATAATGACAATACCATTGGAAACACTCTACGAGCACCAGCAGTTTACACACATGCACACACTCATATATACATATATATATATATACATATGTGTGTGTGTTTATGTATGCAGGATGGGATACAATAACAATAACAACTACAACAACAACAAAAAGGGGTCACAAACACACAGGTGCATGAGATCCTCCTTCCCTTCTTTTCCCCCATTGCGATTGGCGAAATGACGTATCAGAGTCACACGGACGTAAATGCTTTGGGGAGGAAGAAGAAAGAAACAAAAAGAAAAGAAGGGCGAAAACAGCCAAGCCAAGCCCGTTTGCCATCATATCCTCCTTTCCAATGTGAAAACTGTCTACTAAGTATAAAAAAAAGAAAAGCAGGAGACGGACTAGGAATTCTTCCCTCACTCCCTCCTTCCTTTCCTTTTTCCCGTATCCCACATACACGCGTGTATGTGGCATACTCTCCTCACACAAAAATCCCACTAGAATTCCCAACTGAGTCTTCCATGTCAAGAGCTCTGTGTACACATCTATCTATATATATATATGTAGGTTTAATGTTTATGTATGCATTGCATCATTCTACCCCATTTGTGTCTTATTCTTCCCAACAGGTTCCCCTCTCCTCGCCCTTTTCTTTTTTTTTTTTTAAATTCTTCTTTATTCTCTTCTCTTCTACACACACTTTTCACCTCTCATTTCTTTCCTCACCCTGTTATCATTATTGTTATTATTATTAACAGCCGGTTGTACCGTCGTGCCAAATGTATTAAATGTCTGCATGTATGGAAATGTCCAGTGTAAATTTTCTGCCACGGTTATACCGGGGTTGTGCGAGATATCAAAGCGTGTAACGCCGACAAGCCTCGGTTCAATTTCCCCAAAAACCGTCTTTGCAATGTCCTGACGTGTCAACTGCGGTATAAACGTTTCATGAAAGACCCTTGAATTACCTCCAGTGCCGTACAACAATTGCTGCGCGGATGATGCGGAGGAAGAAGAGGAGGAAGAAAAGGAAGAGGAGGACGATAACGACGACAAGGACGATGACATGGGGGAGGACGTTGCATGAAACGTAGGGCCGCTACCACCACCAACACTATTCCCTCCATTCGTGGCGGAGACAACGTGCCCTGTAAAGAGTGCAAATCCCTGCAAGTCCGGGTGATTTGTCCGTTCCCCACGCAACTCCAGGCGCCTCAATATACGCCGAATCGTGTATCGAACCATTTCGTACGTTCTGTTCATTTTTTTAGCATGTAGTTGCATGTCAGAGGCCTCCCACGGCCAGTACTGTGGCTCACGTGGGGATGTAATCGTCAGCCGTTGCCGATATTCCTCACTTCGTGCTCGACTGTACCGCTTTTCCGTTATTGCTTTGGCCGCCGCAGAGGAAAAAAGCGGCGAGACGTGTTGTGACGCGTCAATAGGACGCAGCCCCCGCAGAATACCAAAGAGGTTCATGCCCCGCAGCTGCACCCCCACAAGTGTAAAAACCGGATCATCATCTATGTTCCGCAAGAGTCGGACCCCGTCGCTGCCCTTCTTTATCCCTCCAACCGACCCGCCGACAATTTCCTTCTGCGACTTGGCAAGAATGCGCGGCATGTCAATAAGCGTGTCTATTGGATAACGAAGCGCCATGCATGTTATTCCTTCCCATGTACAGTAGTCTTCTCCCCGCCACACGAGTCGTAGCCGTGGAATGGACGTTGAGAGAAGTTTCAAAAAATGCAGTGTCTCAATCCGCATGTAATCGGCATGCCGCATCGCACGTACACGCTGCCGCCACACAAACTGTCTTGCTTTTTCCTCCACCCCCTCCACCCCCCTCTTGCCACCATGTGTATTAGATCCCTTATCCGTCCCTATTCCATTATGATTGTTGTTATTATTCCCACCCTTACCAGATCCACTGCTTCTTGTCTCTGATATGCCCTTCAATACGTTATTCATATCTAAATTTGAATTCGGGCGCTGGAACTGTTGTAATGGAATTACATGCCGCACCGTCGTGTCCCCAACAGGTGTGCTGTACGCCAACACAAGTGCAAAAGAGACGGCATACAATAACAGCATTGACGGCGGTACGGGTGTGTGAAGAGATGGGACAAGCATCTACTTTTTCCCCTCCCTCCCCCCCGCAACAGTCCCAACACACAAACACGCAACCAACTATAAATAAATCTAACCATACACATACATACAGAGAAAGAAAAAGAAATAAATTTGACATGGAAAAAGGTAAGTGCATATATATATATATACATATGCACACAGCTGATTATTTTATTCATATTTTCTTTTTTCTCTTAGTATAAATCAATCAATCAATATATAAAATATATATATATATATAACCAATCATCATGACGTCCTCTTTTTTCATTTCTTCCTTCATGTGTTTTGTTTCCCTGTTTTTTTTCTTTTTCTTTTTCTTTCCTTTTTGTTGTTCTTTCATTCCTTTTGGTGGATTCGTTCCACTGATGTCTCCTCTCCCTCTCTCCCCATACACAAACATTACATGCACACGCAGGTGTAGGTACACGGATATTAATAAATAATAAATGTGTGTGTATCACAATTTGTCCATTTCTTTTTTTTTTTTTTTTTTTTCGTGTGTGTTTCGTTGTTGTGTGACTTCGTATTTCTTCTTCTTTTCTTCCATGACTCGTTGGTTTAAATAGGCGCAATAATTAAATGGAGAAGAAGGGGTGAAGAAGAAGAGGGAAGGAAGGGAAAAATAAGAAGAACAACAACAACAACAAAAAAAAAAAACGAAGAAAAAAAACGGATGTCGTCTGTTTCCCTTACGGCGGAAGGGTGACAAGGGCGCGGTGCTTCGCGACAAGCTCCGCAAGTACCGGCCATGTGCGTGGCGGGAGTCCAAGTATTTTTCGCTGCGCCGCTTCGACGCGTTCCTGCCGTGCGAGCTCAGCCTCCACTTCAGTCTTTGATTCGGTCGAGAAGAGAGATGTGGATGCATGCAACAAGAGTTGCGCCTGGTCGCCCTCCACGACGTTGTGGACGGGAGTCGGAGACACGGCTGCCGCGGCTGTGGCGGTCATGCGACCAGCGGCATTGTATGGGAGGTGTCCACTGCCTTCCTGCAGCGGGCAGCGTATGTGTGCGGCAACGAGCGGCTGCAGATGCGCCGCAAATACGGCGTCCTCCTCTCGCACAAATGGTGTGTACGCACCGACGGTGCCGAGGGACGTGGCGTAAAAAAGTATACGGAGCGCAAGCGATGGATCTGCGCCACCACTCGGATCGTAGTCATGGACACGTAGTGCCGTGACAAGTTGCCCGGTGTGGTGCACGGCAATCTCCTGCAGGACTTGTTCATGGGCAGCATAACGCTCAGCCTCCACAAGCTCGGCGTCACTCATTTGATGCAGCGGCTCCGCAAATCCAAGTCGTGCGTTCTGCGGTAGACGCAAGAAGGCAACGCTCCCAAAGCGGTCTGCCACGGCAATAGTGCGTTCATCGAGGCACACGACACTTGTCACGCTGCGGGGGACGGCATCGCGTGCCACGAGCATCAGGAAAGACATCGAACCGCCTGCGCCACTGCCCGGCTGCACCGTCGCAATAAAGACCGATTGATCGAGTGTGCCACACACGATAAGAAGACGTTTTTCTCGCGCAATGTTCCCGTTACTTGGTCCACAGCGAAAAAGATCGGGTGCATACGTGGCTGTGGTGGCGGATGCAGCGCCGGGTGGCGAAATAAAGACGGTCTCGATGGCGGTGATGCGACTCGGCACTTTTGGAAGCCGCCGCTTGCGCAGAAAGCGACGTTGCCCCCACGCGTATACCTGCAGTCCATTCTCCGGCCCCAAGCCAACAAACAAGAGGCCCACCTCTGGACAAATGTGCAGCGCCGAGGGATAATCCAAGAGTGGCGCCGCCCGGTACGACGCAGCCAGTGTTCCTTCTGCCAAACCTTCAGCGCTTGTTTCTGCTGCGGCAATAAGTGTGTCATGTAGCTGCTCAAGGCGGAGTGTGGAGGAGGCGGTACCGCCTCCTCCTCCTGCTGCTGCTGGTTGACTCACAAGAAAGCGAAACGCGCGAAGGCGGCCTTGAGTCCATGAGGGGCCAACACCGCAGCCACTTCCATGCGTGTATTGCTCCGC